TAGTTGAAAATTTGCATCATATCAGCTTCCTATACCTTTTAGTATATTCCCTCCTGCTCTTGTACCTCTCATCTCAGGAGCAATTGCCATATCACAATTCAATTATAAGCATCAGGGAGATTTATAAAACTGCCATAAATGCCAGTGGAACTGCCTAAGCTAGAGCAGGTCATCCAGCTGAACAACTGAGGAGGTGAGGAAAGCAGCAATAATCATGGGTTTGCTCCATCCCACCATCTTCATCTGGGCACTGTGATATACATCAAGTCAAGGCATCATTAGTGGCTTGATAAGGAAAATCAAACATTTAGATTATAAATACTTTACTGCAGTCCAGCTCCTGAAATTTGAATGACAGGTTTCCTAATGACTCTAGTACCACAAAAAAGAAAATAAAACCTACCTTTGAGGTCCTTGGATTGAATAGAAGAAGCTGTACATTGCCTGACAATAGGTGACATAAATTGGAGCTGCAGCATATGTTGGAGTTGTTAGGTACAAAATACTGATTAGCCTCATTAAGAATTCAGCCTTATTGCATAAATAGTATAGTCCTGTCTTCTACATGCTATGATACTTATTTGAATTTGAATGTATGGTCTCCTCTTTATATCAATACGATAGCCAGCCTTTGGAGATTCCTCTGTTTCTTTTGTCCTTCGAAAGAAAAGGAAGGCACAAAAAAAGACAACAGTAAAAATTGTTCCTGGGCGTTAATAGCAATATGAAATATAGAGCTCTGCTGGGTCTGCTGCTGGATAATTAGTTATTGATACTAGAGGTGTATTATCTGTTTTGAATAATTGTTAATAGTATAGACTTTGACAGAATGAGCTGTCAAAATAGAAAATGTTTCACTGGTTTGGAAAGACAGACCTCAGCTTTGGTTTTTCTGTTTAAAGATTCAGTCCTTCTTCTTTTTTTTTTTTTTTTTTTTTTTTTAAGGTGAGAAAGTGACATCAATGGCAGCTAATACCTAATGTGTCAAGGTTGCCAAGTAACAGGTTAGATGTGTCAGTGAAGGCTGTTTCTATGACAGAAATTCAGTAGGTTATAGTTTCAAGTACCTGGAAATAAATTTACACTGTCTGTCTGCCTGTCTCAAATCAATGAAAATTCATGTAGTTAAACAAAGGATACAGTACGTCCTTAAGGCACAAGTCTGATAGTTTGGGTCACTTCTAAATCTTAAAAACAGTGAAATAATTAATATATCCTGTTGCAATTTTGAGAAAAAAAAAGTTTGATGGAAAAATTACTTGAAAGTATTTTTTTCTGTGAAGTTACTTGGATTAAAGAGTTACTGTAACTGCTGAATCCATTTTGAAAGATGAGAATTTTGATTGAAAAGAATAACAAGGTGACACATGGTCAAATGAAAGTAGAATTTATTAGGACTGCTCACTAATTTTTGACAGTGACTTTCCTGATTCATAACTTAGCCTCAGGCCACATTATGGGAGTTTTGCAGTGGTCTGTAGTGGACAAGATAATGGAAAATATTTCCATTAATGCTTTTCATTATGGAATAAAATGTTTCAGTATAAAGTCTGATGCAAATGTTTGGAAGCACTTTGGAGGATAAGGTTAGAATTCACAGCATTCTTGATAGACCAGAGAAACAGATTTAACTCATTGAGTTCAAATTCAGTGAGGACTAAAGATAATCATAAAGTACTGGGCAGGAATTAAGGCAGTAGGTCCTTCCAGGGGACCATTGGCCTCTTGCTGGATGTTGATAATCAAGAGGATTCCTTTATCTTTCTGATAAAGGAGGTAACAATGAAAGGAAACATACACTGTGTTGGACTCTTTGTTAAGAGCTTTCTGACTATAAAGAAAGAACTCATGTGTGCCCAATCTGGCCACAATGGTTTTAGATCCATCCAGGTTTGAAATGCATGGGGAGACCTTAAATTGGATACTAATGAGTGTGCTAGAGCCAACCACCTATGATCTGTGCACGAAGCAGCTAAATTAGACAATTTTTTGTATAGATCTTTGCTGTGTATCTGGCAAGAATATTCTCTGCATACAGAAATGACATTCACTGTAGTGCAGGCTTGAATTTTCATAAGACTTAAATTTATTGAATGCCAAGCCACATTTGGATCTACTAATAGCTTTTCTAGACTTTATAAAAATTAAAAATGACACATACTACCTGAAAAGTACAGGAGAGTAAGTATTTTGGAAGGCAGGCTAAAAGCTTATTCCAATGCACTGTGAGTATGAATGTCTGCCTACTGTGAAATGTATTACCAAGGGAATAGAATAAAAAGGAGAAACCAGAAATAATATCCACAAAGGTTTAACTGAAATCTAGTAAATTCAATGCATATCACTCTTGCAAGACATTGTCTACATACCTCTAACATTGGGGTTTTTTTCTTTCTTTTCCCTGAGTTCGTCCCCACATCTTGCTGGAAATTTTAATCATTGCCCTTTTTGAATATTGCACATTTCATTTGCTTTAAAAAAATACATCTAAAATTACATTAATTTGTACAATAAAAATACTTTGGAAAAAAAATTATAGTACTATCAAAACTTGTAGGGATGAAACCCAAGCTCTCAGGAATTTACTCCATTTTAAAAATTACTGTGGTGGAGCACTCCATAGCTTGGTCCAGACATTTGTTTGTCTGTGCTTTATGCAAGACTTATTTAGGTCTCAATTTGCCTAACTAAGAAAAATGGTACTTTTGAATTTTTCATAGTTTAGAACATTTCCTTTGTTTGAGCTTTGGATAATGGCTTACTTTTTTCATCATTGTATTTCCTTCTCTCTGTTTTCAATATGCATCTCTGCAAAGCAGGATAGCTGTAATAAAAACAAAAAAAAAAACAAAAAACAAAAAAAAAAAAAAAACCAAAACACAAGCCCACACCAACAAAATCTACCTGGTAGCACTAGTACATTTGCATAGCTTTATTCTGATAAATCATTTCTCAGTATTGAGGGAGAGGAATGAAAGAAAAAATCATTTTCATAAATAGGAAAAACTAAATTTATCTAGAGTAAGGTCAGTATTAACCCAGTAAATAACTACCTCTGCAGACAGTGCTTGTTTTGCCTCTTCTAAAGAGGTTGGGAGCTAGTTCTTCTAGCAGTGAGTGTAGCCCAGACCTTCACCTGCTGCCTCTTCCTTGCAGCATTCTCTGTTGCTGATGATGTTGATCCTGAGATATTCACAGGAAAGCTTAAAAAAAGTGGCTGTTCTCTCCACTGTCTCATCCTCAAGCCCTGGCTTCCCTAAGGTACCAGCACGCCCACCCTGCTCCCCAACCTCCACCATGCTTACCTAATACTAATCACTAACATCAGACACAAACAGAAAATAAAAGACTCTTTAATCTCCCTTTTTTGTATATGTGGTTCAAATACAGCCTTATTCACTTTTTCTGGCGCTCCCAACTGATCTCACTTCTCTGAAAATCTGGCTGACCAAATGGGCAGCCTTGTTTTTTCCTTTCCTGCATTATCAGACTAATGGCATTTGTGACACTGACACTGGTCATAAGACTCCAACCCCCTACCCTCTCCCCTCCCAGCTGACTAAAGTTTTGGAAAAGCAAAAATCAGAAAAACTAATGGGTTGAGATAAAGGCAGCTCAATAAGGGAAATAAAATGTGTGCACAAACAAAGAAAATTAATGATTTTTCTTGTCTTTGGCAGGCAGATGTCCAGGTAATTCAGGAAAAACCCAGCATGTAGAAGGTTTACATGTGAAAATGAAAGCCATTACCACAAATGATCCCCCTTCCTCTGCTTTCCTTTTATAGATGAGCACAATGTCAAACGGAGGGGCACATATCCCTTTGGCCAGCTTGGGTCAGCTCTCCTAACCATGTCCCCTGCTAGCTTCTTGCCCACTCCCAGAGCACAACTTTTGAGGGAGACAGAGCAGAAAAAAGGCCCTGATGCTGCGGAAGAACTGCTCATCAACAGCCCAAAAATTGGTTTGTTATCACCCCTGCTTCAGTCACAGATTCAAAAACACAGCACCATACAGGCTGCCAAGAAGAAAAAGATCTCCATTACAGCCAAAATCAGTCCATGGAAAACTTCAGTGTTATCAATGTTACTGGAAAGTGTCCAGCTTGAAGTTTGAAAGTTCAGAATGAAAGTTCACAACTGCTCAAAACAAAGCTGTGTAAAACTTTGAATTGTATAAAGAGAAATGATACTTCTGCCTTAACAATGCCTTTCAAAAAATCTGATTATTACTACCAGCCTTATCTCTTTCAGTGAAAATCCACATAGGTACTTTATGCATTATAGTAAATTATAGTACCTCAATTTTAAAGTATGATTCCAAAAGAAAATATGTATAATAGACATATTATTAATAATGAATATAAATATAAGGCTAATATATGAAGGAAAATATTGGTTTGATTTCCTGATTTAGCCTTAAAAACTGAACACATATCTCTTTCAGCAAACAAAAAAAAATAGCAGAAGGCAGTTTATATAAGATATAAGAATACACTATTTCCATAGATATAAGATGAAAATTGTACATACTGAACAATACATTTGAAATAATGGTAAAGAGTAACTACTCCCACAATTTTAAAATATCCAAAAATGCACTGAGGGAATATCTTAACAGCTTTTTGTAGAAATAAAGGACTTGTCGCTGATATTTCAAATGCAATCATAAACTCAGTGATTACCTACTATGCTTTCTTTCTCATTTCCTTAGAAATTTACAGGAACATCATACCATTGAGTAAAGAATGACAATTTTTCATTATTTAGCTAATGCTAAAATGAAGTTGTTCTCAGCTCTTATTTGTGATTGTTTTCCATCAACTTAAAGTAAAGGCAGCGCTTTTCTGGGGAGCATTCAATATCTCCTGTTATTCAAAGTGCACACTAGATTCACCCCTCACTGCAGTGGTGTGAACAGAGATCATTCACCGAAGCCAGCCTACTCACTAGAGTGAGGAGAGAAGGGTGGGTGAAAAAGATAGTTTTTCTTTGTCATACCTCATCACCCATGGCTATTCTCTTTCTGACTCAGATGCTGAGGTTTCCAGAAGTCAGTAAGTATGCTACTATTTTCAGCCAGCTGTCTGAGGTTGTTTAAATAATCATCTGTAATCAAACCAGTCATCCAAAGGTACTTAAAATACCCACTCAAAACATTCTTTTTTTCCTATGTAGTTAGACTTGATCATTCCAAACATCACTGTGTTTTGCTTCCTATGGTTATCTGAAAGAAAAAGCAATTTGGTCAAGTTTCTTTTTAGTTCCTACAGTAATGCATTGTTTAGGAAAAGTGAGAGTAAATAATTTTGAAACTGGAGATCATTCTTTCCACCAAATTCAATTATTTCCCCAATAAAATTGAATCATTTTGTCTTTCACACTGCAAAGGAGATACTGCGATGCTTAACCACCCTTCTGTGTCAAGTACAAGCTTTTTATTTATGGGGCTCTTTCTCTCTGACCCACATTGCAAATAAAACAGTACTTACTATTCTAAAAGCATACCATAGCAATCCTGGTGATGGCTGTCAGTATAAAGGACAACAAAATGTATTGATGAGATAAATAGCTCATTAGCATTTACTTTTCATGTTCAGTGTGTTGAAATAGCTTTCAAATGGCTATAATGCTCAATGGTTGCATATCACAGCTGGACTTTCAAGTCAGCTATTACAGAATCAGCAAGTGATTTGAAAGCCATGGCTTCCCATGCCCAACGGAGTCCATATTCTCTGTTGTGTTTGTTATTAATTGCTATGTCACTCTAAGTACAGTATTTAATATCAGAAAATGTTCTGTAATCAGTAGACCCTCATGGTTATTCAGAGCCTGAGGTACATACAGCCTCTCTGAATAAAGACCAGCACAGCAACTGTCCAGATGGCTGCTCTGTGCCCTGGGAAGAGGATCTATGAGGAGGATTTATCCTTCCTATAATCTCCATGTTGTCCTTCAGTGTTCTCAGTGTTCTCAGCTTCTTCAGTGTTCTCATCCTAACATTAGTATTGCACTAACAGAACAAGGGAAAAAGCTTCAGATGCCACAGAGACTGATTCCTTCTCCTTCCATGCAGCCTATTTTCTCCACAGATGATCTGTAGCATTGATCCAATCAGCAGAAAGGTGAAACTTTATTACTTGGCTTGGTAGTGAAATGATGAAGGCGGCATTTTGTAACATTAATATCTGCAGATTGGAAGAAAAAAAAAAAGAAAAAAAAAGAAGAAGCTGGAGTGCAGGGTTTTCTGCTGACATTCCATGTTAGGAGCACTTTGCAGAACCCGTTTCCCAGCTTTACATGTTGAGAGAAAAAACTGCAATATATCAACAAGCAACCTGCACATCAGCAGGGCAGTTCTTCCCTTAGGATTTGCTATGTCAATTATATTGATAAATATAGATATCAAAATTAACAGGACACCTTCCTCCAGCAAAGATTTTGGAATGTGTACAGCAGATGATTATGGGGTTTTTTTCAGCTTCCCCACCAGGTACACTCACCTTTCATCTGTAGTGTCTTATCATTTTCTTGTGAATTTCCAGTGTTTTATCTTTTGCTTTTTTCAGTTTCTGGGTTTTCTTCATTAGTCTTCTAGCTTGTCACCCAGCTGGTTTTATTTATTATATCTCTGTCCTTTTCTCATAAATTGCTTCTCATTCTGCTTTATTTTAGACTCCATTGTTTTATTACTTGATTTTTTTCATTTTCAAAAGCCATAATCTAGTTTTCACATTATGTGAAGTTCTTTACTCATATAAAACCCAAACATTCATTATTAGCCTGTCCTCCATTGAATTCAAGAAAATTGTAAATTTCTCCACAAATTCATGATTTGAAGATTGGGGCAAGGAGTTGGCTGTTTGATGCTTTCTTCTAAAGGCAAGCAACCAAATGTTCCAGTATTTGTTTAACAAGAATATGTTCTGTTATAAAATTCCTGTAATGATAAAGCTGAGTGGCATCAGCAAATTGCAAACAAATGCATCTCCAAGGCACCTTCCTACTAGTAATCTACACGTGTTTTGTCCTTTGTTTTTGTTTTTTAAGCCAAAGGGGAATGCAAGATTAAAATCAGAAGTAAGCAACAAAATTTAAAATCGGTGTTTGAGTCAGACATCTGAGAGATTTTGACTTAAAAAATTTTTCCTTTGGTTTGTTTGTTTGAGACTCAAAATTAATTTCTAGAGAAAATAGGCTGACATTTTGATTAAATTGGAGGAGTACAGTTTCTATGGAAAACAACAGTAACCCTTCTTTTTCCTTGTGCTTCGATCAGGTAATACTCATCCTGTGGCATCTTCAGATTCATAGGTTTGTTTAGAAAAAAAAATGAAGTGCAAGAAAGCGATATGGCAAATCTTACAACACAGGACAGAAAAAAGAACACTTTTGAGCTGAACCCACAATTTAAATAGTTCAAAGGATATGCTGTAATATCAAGTAATCTAATTTGCTTATTATGTGAAATTGCCATTTTTATATCAAAACACAGGTTTGGTATTGGAAAATGTTTTGACAGATTGGAAATAAACATAAAAAATATAATCTTCAGATAATTATCCTGATATGTAAATACCATTTTTTAATAATGAAACTACCTCAACAAGGATAAATAATGTTGCAAAAATAGAAAAGAAGTGTCTGGCATGTCTATAATATCCCCAATAAACAAGCAGCATTTAAGTGGTCTTATAGTAAAGATCATCATCATTGAGTGAAATTCCCATGCGCCAACATATTTTACAAAATTAATTGTGAAACTATATAAACAAAAACTAAAAACATGCTTGCTAATATCTTTATTAGAAACATTATTTCTGATGTGCTGCTTCTAAGAAAAAAGTATGTACTTACAATTTAATTTTTTAAGGATTAAATAATTAATCTAGAGGATTAATTAATCTAAAGAATTAAAGAGAAAAATGAAAATAAATTAGACTACAAAAAGTTATTGTGAAAAGCACAATTGGTGTGTTTCCTTTAGTCCTTCTCAAATTTAAGCCTTAACTCTGGTGATAGCTTTGGTAATTGATTGGGATATTATTAAGCAGACTGTGTTGTAAATGGCATAGGATTTTTGTCTCTTTATTTTTCAAGACAGCTTTTCTTAGACCTCAGGATTCTGGGACACTTTAAGAAGAGATTAAAAACCTATCTCTCAGGAACAATTTTGATTTAGTGGACCATATATTTTGATGGAGAAGTGGCTTAGACAGCATTTTGAGGTTCCTTTCATTGCTATTTTCTAATTTTGGGATCTCCCAGATAGATATTCTGGTTTGCAAGTAACCTCTCTCTTGTGCACTCCCTTGGTTTTCTTTTGGTACTGTTTGTTAAGGAATTGTATTCTTAAACCCTGTTCTCTTCTGACAGGAAGTGATTGACACATCTATTTTTAATGAATCAATTTGTTCATGCTGTGTTTTTAAGAAATTTCTTCTTTCAGATATTTGCCTCTTTTCAAGAAATTACATCTGAGATTACCACAGCTCTCTCATCATTATCCTATTTATTTTCAGTTTTCAGGATAACACATCAGGAATCAACCAAACTAGTTTCATCTCCATTTGTCTTCTATATGCATTATTCAGTATTTTACTTCTTTATTTTTTTGTTTTTGTATTTCCCCTTTGTTATAAGTGTATTTTTTCTATTTTCTGGCATTCTAGCACAAAGTATTCAGCTGAAATAATGGGACTGGGTTTTTTTCTTTCTTCTTTAGGTGGATTAGGATGACATTTCTATAAAAAACACAAGAAAATTTATATTTCACTCAATTTAATGTTCCCAAAGCAGAGAGAAGGGAATGCATCTATTCAGGAAAATCTCTGAAACTGAGCTAACATATAGAGTTCCTCCTGAAGTATTCAAATGCATATCAGTAGATCTAGCAAGGACACACTGTGACGTTAAAGAATTGACAAAAAGACCACACAGATACAGAAAGCTGCCTCCATCACAGTAATTCTATTGGTTTTTTTAGTATATTAATAGTATTTTTAAAATAACATTAAAAAAATGCATTTTGCCACTGTGTATCTAAGTTAATGGAAATAATCTTTCATGGAGTCTCCTGGGATTTCAGGTCTTCAGAAATGGTAAGTGAATCATAAAATGGGGTATTTTTCCAACGCTAAAATAATTCTTTTCAAACCTTGTTGCTCAATTTCAGGGAAAAAGAAAACCAAAGCAAATGCAGTAAAACAATCACAAATATTCCAAATATTCCAAAGTATTTAATGGTCTGACTACCAACTCTATCATTGCATGTGATTTGTAAATAATGCCTAGGATTTTATATTCTTATGTGGACTAGTTCTGAGGCTCACATGTAGGACTTACCTATAAAGGGACTTCTTTCCCTTTGAATAGTTAGCAATAATGTCCTCAGCTGTTCAAAATAATTCTCTCTTAAGGGATGTCAGATACAAAAGGCCACTGGGTGGAAGGATGGCAGGAGTATTCTCCAACCCATTCTGTATGGTTCTGGACAGGAAGCCTGCACACAGGCCTGCTGTATCTCAAGTATAACTGCACAACTCCTTGCCCAGAGAATCCTATTTTTCAAGGTAGACCGGATTGTGGAATAGGACTTTTTCTTGTCCTGTATGTCATATGTCAGAGGGATTTTCTGATAAAGTACTTTAGGACCATTGATGCAAAATATTTTTTCTGACTGAAAACATTGTCAATTTGCTTTTTTCTCTGTATGAGCAGGTATTAAAATGGATTCCACAGTTAATGTTTAATTTCTGTTGTAGAAATGTGCTTGGTGCTTCTTAACAAGAAATCTGTCCTAAATGGACTTCCTGAAAGTAATTAGCAACTTTAAGCAGCCATCCTAAAAGAAGGCTATCACAAACCAGTTCCTAGTGTGGTCACAATTCCTTCTCACAAGAGACACATGGAGTTATAATGCCACATAGAAATATTGCTATTTTATAATTAACAGATATAAATTTTTACCTCTACTCAGAATTATAGATCAGGTGTGTTGTTCAGTTATACAACTGCAATGCCACAGAAGGTTTCATTACCTCTTTCTTTAGGGCCTGCACTTGCTTCTGCCTGTTGCCTCAGTACTCTGCTTTATTCCTAGCGTTGATGTAGTCACTTGCAGGATAGACTTTGATTGCCAGCACTGCTTGACTCCTCCAATCTCAAAGTGCTTCAAGAGCAGATGGTGTCAGAATTCCACTTTCACAGAAGTATTTTTTCCCTTTTTAAACTTGCATCTTCTTAATCCTGTGTTATTTTAAGCATCAATTGTTCTTCCTGAAAAACAAAAATCATAGAAAATACTATCTTTTCTGTGAATGAGACACATGTTATAAGAGATTATCAGAAGGTTTATTAGAATAATATAATGCATACAACATTGGTCTGACTAAGGATTAAGGTAGCAATTTGAAACACTTCTGGTTCTTTATCAAACTGACACATGCATTAAGGATGGGTCAATTCTGTGAAACTGTCTTGGGATTACTTTGTATTTAAATGAGTTCATGTTGATTTTGAAACACCTCTAAAACATAGGAAATTAAAATATTAATGAAATGTTTGAAAACAATGATTAAGAATTGAACGAGTAGGAAAGCTTTCCTCAATCAAAGACATGGCTTTCAGTAAGACCTGTAAAAATGGGACAATTATTCCCAGCTATTGATAAGTGTAGAGTAGATTAAACTATTGAAGAGATTAATGGTCTAGTACTTTTCCTTAAAGGCTATTAACTACTATATTAATGCTCTTTCCACTGCACTAACATTAACTATTCGAATTGTCAGCCCTAGAGTGTATTAATTCTTGGCATATTCATGTTTAGGGATACAGTTCTGGGGAAGGTGGAGACGAAAGGGATTATGATTTTTAGAACCTTATAGAAAGAAAAAAATCAAAAATTATTCTTATTTTCAATTTTGTCATACAAAAATGCTCAGTAGTGTATGCAGCAGCATGAGCCTTCACATGTTGTTTATCCCATTATAAAAATTGGGGTTTACATCTTTCAAAGAGTTCTAATACATTAGATTTTTAAACCCAAATGTGATGGCAACTGCATGTATTTATAGATATTTAATGTAGTTCAAATGCAAATATGTAACAACTACCTAAGGTCATTTAGGAATTACATAAGTGATTCTCTTTGTGATCAATTTTCTTTGTGATCTTGTCTGGTAGCTACCTAGGATTTAAAAAATGTTCAAAACAGTGCTTTTGCCTTGGATTCTACCTTGCTTTCTTGATCTTCAAATAGTATTTCGTGTTCTTCATCACAGTCTAAAATTTGATATTTTGTGAAACAGAGGGCTATGCAATTACTCACCTATTGGGGACAGGATTCTGTGGGCAATTTAGGCTCTGAAAAGTTTGGAGCCATTATTTCTTAGCAAAGTACAAAAAAAGCTACTTTCTCTAAGCCAGTAATATTATACTAAATTAAATTAAAAGTATAACATGTTCTCCTGTGGAAGGTTCTGGTCTTCTGTCTGTAACTTTATGGGAAAGATAAAACATAAAGAAGACTTAAAGAAAAGAGGACTAAAGTAGAGAAATAAAATGCTTTCAGCAGTCATGACAGGTTTCTGGTAACATTGAACAGATTTCCTTTTGCTGATGGGTTTTCTAGCCTCCAAGAAAAATGCACTCTTGTAAGGTATAAAAGACAAATTATAAAAGCCTCACAGCTGACCAATCTGCTTCTTATTTACTTCTTATGTTGTTACAGGGCTCCATTATGTAGCCAGATTCTGTCTAAGTCTGGTTGACAATATCTATAGAAAATTATCTGGAACAAAATCTATGGAAAATGAAAATTTATTGGTGTATAATCTCAGTGGTTATGTATAGGCTCATTCCCATTTCATTTGAACAATGTGAATTCCCAGGAAACTTGTTGGAAGCCCCTCAGTGCAGAGAGCCAAGGTGTGGCTTTCAAAGTGTTTCTAAGGCATAGGGCACAAAAATGATAGACAGCAAAAGGAATGATACATTCTGACCAGCAGTGAGGTTTAGTTATGGAGATGTATGTTTGTCACTTTCAGCACTGCAGGAGCCCTTCAGACAGTCATGTACTGACAAGCATGAAAGCACACTGACGTGGAAAGAGTCCTTCAGGGAGAAACTGAAAAAGAAATCTTATGGGCTGGTCCTTTCCAGAAAGGTTTATTGTATTTTATTCAGATTTTTTAAAATACAAAGCTGCTAAACATCAAGGGAAATGGAGGATCTACAAACTATCAGGTCATCAGTGCATTAAACAGACTTATAAAAGCTTAATCAGCTTCTGCTCCCCAGGCCACGATTCACTTGCACTTCACATATTCATTTTACAGTGATTCTGCAGATTGTTCTGACTAGGTATCATGGCTTCTGACCCAATTTTTCTTCCTTTCCCTTTAAATATATAATAAGATACTTGATAAGTCTGTTTGATACAGATTAAACAGGAGTTGTTTTGAATTTTCTGGCAGCATAATTTTTTCTGAATTACACATCTCTCATATACATCTCTGCCTGATGTCCTATTAAGACACAGAATGAATAGTTTTCCTAAAACAGATAAGTAATGGCAAATCTAATGGTAACTCAAAGTGTAAGATTACCCATTGAACTTGGCCACACAGCTCAGTAACTTGTTAAATGAAATAGGAAATAGCTGTCTGCAGTGGCATGCTGTGTGGTAAACCTTGGAATCTCAGAGAGAGCACTCTGTATGGGGAGGAGGATGATGCCCAGCACGTTGCTGCGTGCTGTGAGAGAGAATATTGTTGCAGCTCCTCCTCTAGCTCAGTAAAATGCTTTGGCACACCCCAAATGAAGTCACCAGAATTTATAGCATCAAAACACCCAGCAAAGCTCTGAAGTGCTGACATTTCTGCTGCTTGGGGTGACAGAAATGCCTAGAGAAAAGCTGCCCCTTTTCTATGATGTGTCTCAGTGACAGTGGGATACAGAGATTAGACCTCCAGGGTAGGACCTTGAAGATGCACTCAAAGCAATCTGAAACCTTTGCAAAAAACCCCCACAAAATGTCCACTCCTGCCATAGAGCACAGCTGCAGAGCTGACAGGGTGCTCAGCTGGGACTCAGTTAATGTCTCCTCCATATCTGATTGCATTTTGATGAAAGTATTTTCCATCTCAGCAGAGCGCCCTAATTGCAACGTTACCAGATAGTCAGGGACATATCTCTCTTGCTCCAAATTTCTCCAGCTGAAGGTATTCAATTAATTACCCTAGCAGAAAGTAATGAAATAGTCACTGGGACAAAGAGAAAGGAGAGGGAAGAAACAAAAGGTTGATTCATGTGCAGGCTCTAGTTCCTGCTCCAATGAACACTAAAGCTTCTTAATTGAAAAGCAGCATTTTCCACAGGAGAGAAATTTACCCAGGAATACAGCTCAGCCTCGTGGTTAGGCTGTTTGGTCATGTATTAGCATAGACCTGAGCACTGCTGCCTTACTTGAGATTAAAACTGAGCCAGATACTGGGGGGCAGAGGAGGTGAAGGAAAGGAGCTCTCCTTGCCTTTCCCTGCCTATATTATTCTTGGCTGCTTCATGCTCCCTAAAAGCCCATATGTATTGATTGTTTTCTATTGAGAACATAAACAAGGCAGTAGAACATACATGAGCAGTCATAGCTTCACTCTTCCTGTCAAATATAGCCCCCCATGAATTTTAGAAGTGCACAGTTTTTGGAGTAGTGCAAATGTGAAGCATTTGCAACCATTCCCCTTCCAGTCTTGTGGACGCGGTTGCATCTACTCATCCAGCTTCTAAAAAGATAATTTCAGTACAATATGAAAATGCATCAGCCATACACAGTCATGCTGGAATGAGAGAATCATTGATAGTGTAAATAAAATTTCAATCAGACTGTATTTAAAGTAGTGTTAAGCCAGTGGCACAATGAAGTGGATGTCAACATAATCTCCTGCTTGTTGAGTTTTTCTATAATTGCTCTTAATATCTGAAAATAAACAGATCTTTTGCAACTCAGTAATGAATGAATTATGTATAGTCAGGATTCAGAAGGCAGTTAAACGATGCAAATTTACTGTATCCTGTGGCCTATATACTGTCCATATTCATCAGCCTGAAAGCTACATTGACTGTACTTCAAGTGAATTTAAATGCAGTCTCCCAGTTGCACCTTCAAATGTCTGAAATCATTGCATGCTTCAGTGGAGTTGTGTCAACACAACACCTATTTTTCTTTAGCTGAAATCACTCAGAGAGAGTAATCATTGTGCAAAACCAGTTTCATTTACAAATAAAATGCAATGTGAGACAATGTGATAGCATGAAAACTTTATGTGATCCAGGCTGTAGCATGTCATTTTCACCTTTAAACTTGCACGTGGCAGATCACAAAAAATATAAACAGCTTTGAAATTAGACATTGCTTAATTCAAGTTTCTGCTTAAAGATACAACTATTAGCTACAGTTATTATGCAGACATAATCAGAGTACCCCTGAAAAGATAAAGAAAAAAATTAAGTTTAAAAAGACCAAAAAAACACACCACCAAAATAAGAAAATTAAAATACTATCCATTAAAAACCTTATATAGAAGACAGTGCAGTCAATAAAAAAAATAATAGGAGGATTTTGGCTGTTAATATTATTATACCCGTGTCTGTAATACCAGTCATAGGCAGAATATTAAGAACAGTAGCTTGGACTGGAATAAAGGTTACCACTCAATTTCCAGGCATTCTGTCATAAAATCATAGAATGGTTTGGAATGGAAGGGCCCTTCAAGTTCATCTAGAACCAGTTTTCTGCAATGACATGGGATATCTTCAACTCAGTCTGGCTGTTCAGAGCCCCATCTAAACTGACTTTGAAGGTTTCCAGGGATGGGGCATCTACAATCACTCTGAGCAACCTCTGCCAGTGCTTCAGCACCCTCATTGAAAAACATTTTTTCATTAATCTGGGGCTACTCATCTTTAGTTTAAAACCATTATCCCTTGTCCTGTTCCTGGAGACCCTGCTAAAAAAATCTTTCTCCATCCTTCTTATAAGTCCCATTTAAATACTGGAAGGCTGCTATAATGTCACCCCAGAGTTTTCTCTTCTCCAGGTTGAGCAACTCCAGCTCTCTCAACCTTTTCTCAGAGGAGGTGTTCCAGCCCTCTGACTTTCTGTGGCCCTTCTCTGGACTCACTCTCCATGTCTTTCCTGCACTGGGCACGACAGAACTAGATGCAGCAATACACATGAAGTCTCAGCAGAGCAGAGCAGAGGTGCAGAATCATTTCCCTCAACCTGCTGGCTGGTGGTGTCCCTCCTTTCAGACCTTTCAGAGATCAGTTCCCAGTGAGAAAATATTGACACTTATCCCTCTGCTAACGTTTGTGTAATTGATGAAAATAATGTAGAGGATATTATGTAAGGGAGGAGGGAAGAGGAGTAGGGATATTTGCCATTTTAGATTTCATTTTCTGCATTTCTTAGCATGCCTGGAAGTAATCATTTGTATATCAACCTGAATATTGATTCTGTATTTTTGATCATTTAGTTCTTCTTGAGAACATTCATAATTGAAATGACGCCTTGAGAGTCTGACCTGAAACAGAGACCAGAGAATGAAGTAGGTATTTATTAAAAGGCCTCAACTGATACACCTTGGGCAGTACAAGAGCCTGGCCAGGGCTGCATCCAGGATGTTCCCAAAATTGTCACAAAATGGACAACCAGTCACAAGGTCTCACACTTTTGTAAGTTTTGGCCCATTTTCATATTGGAGTTTATTGTCCAATTATAGCTTTATGTTATGAAGTCCCATCCTCCTTGTTTTCCTTTCTTCAGTTCATCACTGTTTATACCTTTTGGCCTGAAACTTATAATGGTTGTCCTTGGTCTCAAGCTGGAAAAGGATTGGTTTGTTTACCTACCCTGTGAAGAGAACCTACCAATGCTTAATATGAAGCTCAGAGCAACAGGCCTAGGCAGCACAGAATCTGAAAAATATGAAAGTTAAAACTTAAGGCATCATTTCCCCACCTAAAACATCCAATATCTTCCCATCAAGACCACCTCCTTTTCTATTGTGCAAGGATTATATTTTTCTGACCATGGGTCTTGGTTTAGTTAATAGTTGGCTCCTAATTCAGTGCAAATATGTGTTTTGTTTTCCTTCCTGCTAATATGTTCACAGCCCTGTTTAAGTACATTTGTTTTACACCCAAAGATGATTTGGCAGACTATTGCCATTTAGTTGCTTTCAAATGTTTCCTTCAAATTTCTTAAATATTGCAGTGAATTTTTCTTTCCAGTCTCTTATGCCTACAGATTAATCATTGTACTATACTGGCCACTCATCTTCTCTTCCTTCAATTTCTTCTGGAAGAATCAGCCTTCTTATATATACTACTATACAAGTGGTTTATTGTTTTCAATCTTCTCTAAATACATAATTTTTCTCTATTACAAATAGTTTTATATATATCCTAATTAATTTACACTGGCAAATCTCTCTTTCCTAGTATTGCTTGAGTAATGGAAACTGATAGATAAATAAGAACAGTGACTTTGGCTCGCTGTCGCTTGTTACAGTTGCCTCATTATGGTTTTCTTTTTTCATTCCCTGGTTAAGTTTTTTCACTCAACTATTCAAATGGGGCATAAAGTACTAATTATTTTTCTTGTTGCATCATTTTTTATATTGTTGCATTCACGCATATCAGAATTAATACTGCATGACTCAGGGGAAGACTTCTCCACAAAGGGTGAAACACCATCAACAAAAACATTGCTTTTTAGCCTGTAAAAGCTTATGTAGGTAGCAAATGAATAATTAAAAAATAGAGTTGATTAGTGAAGAATTTTCACATGTGAAAGCTAAGTTTTTTATCACTATTATTTGAAATAAAAAGCCTAATCAAGTCTAGAGAAACATAATTGGGAGCTGCATAATAGATGTTATGCTAGTAAAGGGTCAGCCGAGTTTTCACTGAAGACAACTGCAATATTTTATTTGTTCTAGCGTGAATAGCCTTAGATGATAAAGACATTTCATTGCGTGCTTGCATAATATGTTCCTTCTTACTGCAGGCTTGAAAGAAAAAGCTGCTTTTCTAAGAATGAGCTCGTTCAAATAGAAAAACCAAAAAACTATTTAACTGCAGATGATACACAAAATTCTTATTCTGCTTGGTATGTGACCAGTAGAGAAAGAGAAAGTACTAGATTAACATTTCTCCTATATTTAATTTTCTTTGTTTTTAAATTTCCCAGGAAATTTTGTAAAGGTTATGTATGTAGAAGTAGAAGTGATTCCTTTTATGTGTTACTCTTGATGTAACATTTGTACTATCCTAAAGAGGGGTACACCTCAGCTTCTCTTTCTAATTCATTAACTTTTTGGTAAGAATTAGACAGATATATAATTTTAGATAGAGACATAGATATAAGAGATACAATCAATGTATTAGCTATATGATAATGGCCAAAGTGATTTTTTTTTTTTAACACAGTGTTACTTTTGACTGTATCTGATTCCTGGGAATCAGTTACACAGCTGAGAACTACTGTCTCTGGCAGCAAATTTCAACTAATGATTTGAAAATAATTGGCCAGTGCAAGATATTAAGTATAGCAGTGTCTGAATGACTTGTTACAGCTTCATTATGACTTCAGAAATTCTGGCAGCTATTCAGCTACTTCTTAGCTGTCATATTTTGTTGGTGCATCTTCTGAAATGGTGAGCAGAACAAATTTTATCCTTTAAAACATCCAACATGATGTTGGAGGCCCCATTTCACAAAATATCTAATAGCCTTCCAATCAGTGGGATATCTGGGCCCTTCTCAGACTACCGCTTAAATTGAAATTTTATTTTGTTATTGTATCAAGGTAGAAAAAAGAATTAAAATATTGATACTTTTCTTCTTATAATACTCAAGATGTTACCATTAATTTCTGCAGGAATTATATTCTAAATGAAAAAGTCTTCAAACATAATGTAGAAAATAAGAGCTTGGAGGAAAGGAGTTCTGGGGTTAACCTCACTGTCACTGAACAAACTAAATGGGTATTCACCTTTATGGCTGAAAGATTTTTTTCTTTAATATGTACTTAAACAGTAGTGCATGCATGGATGAGTACATATTTATGAAACAAATCGTTAATGCTGGCACAACAGACCCAAAATAGCAAATGAAAAATTCTCCCCTTTTTATAGGTATTCTGAGTACTAAAGAAGTGCCTTAATTAAGGTGTTGTTTACCATATCCAGCATATAATATGGTACAATAATATGGCACAAACTGTGTGTGTTTGAGTGTGTGTAAAGTTCTCTCTGTCCTGGCCTCTCTCTCTTGGTGAATTCAGTGAACTGACTTTAGCAGCACAATGCTGGTTTTGGCAGCCAGCATTGAACAGCTCACTTCTAAGTGCTGTATGAGAGCTGGGTGCCATTCTCTAAACTGAAAGCTGTTCCCCAGGGAGGCATTTCCTGCAAGAATTTAGGCATAAGGGTGAAAAAATATATTTTTACACAAGTGCCAAAAGGCACTAACAACAGGAATTATGTGAAAAAAAGGATGGTAGACTATATATGGCTGAGAGCCTCTGGCTCTGAGCACAAGCTGGAGACCTGGCTGAATTTCACCTATCTAGTACCTGATTTCTTGTGATGCTTCTCAGACATGATAATCACTTGTGTATGTATGTATGCATCTGTGTGCTTAATTCAAGGTATAGGAGTAATGGAAGGGAGTACAGGCAGTTTCTGAAAAGAGTCTCATGAAGTTAATGGGTGTGTCGCACCACAGGCCACACAGGTAAGGGAGGTGGAGAACACAAGGCCTCCTCAGCTAGTGTTGGAGATTTGTGTCTGAGAGAGAAAAAGACAAGCCTGTTACAAGCCTGTCCCTGGTGTCTACTGTGGGACTTCCTTGGCTGGTGCTGTAGCTCCAGCCTGAGGCCAGAAACTGCTATTTGACATGAGCCAAAAATCTCGTGCCTTGCCTTGCACTGGGCAGGGAAGACATCAGAGGTCTCATGTGCAAAATCATTGAGGTAACACCAATGATGGCTGGAGCTAATAATACTAGGAATGCTTCAAGCACTGGGAAGAAAAAAGGGACTACTTACTCAAGGGTATTATTTAAACATTAAAAAATGCATAAAAGAAGTAATATAATCAGCTTTTTTTTCTTGAAATTATTACAAACTGTTGCAGTGTTAGTGAGTGACTCCCTGTAAGCAAAGGAGTTACAAGGCCTGCATTCCAGGCCGTGGCTGATAGTGCTTATTTGCACATGAGGGCAGTATTTTGTGTATCATTATGGAAAAGAAGCACTGTATTTCCCCATTTTATCCATGCCTTTTTTCTTTGTGTTCCTACTAGGAAACATCATAAGAATGTAGCAAAGGACCCTGAAAATGCCTACACACCACACCTCACCTTCCTCTTAAGGACATCAATGCCAATGGCAATGCTAGGACAGAACACTGAATTTTAGTAAATAACTGGTAAGTACTAACAATTATTTAGACTCAGAAAGATTTCTTATCTTTGGGATTTCTTTTCTACAGTGCAGGGGGAAAGTTAGATCTATTTCTAGTTAATATAAAAGCTTTGCTCCTACATATCCAAAAGCTCTGTAAATTCAGAAGTCTGGTATTGATTTTCTGGAGATCATTTGCTGTAAATTATTCACCTGGAACAATTGACAGTAAATGTAATGAATGAGCACTTATAGAATGCTCAGAATACTTCTATAATGTAAAAGGAACTGAAAAGGGATCTATTTTAACACAGGGCTTAATTCAGTTAACAGAATAACCTGGCTGGGTCATAGCCAACATATATCATTTTCTCAGTCTGTAGTTATTAAGTCATTCTTATTACATCATTCAGGTAAAATTTAAAAGCAAATTCTTGCTTTTTCAGTAAAAAGTAGCTCTTCCATCCTCTGGCAGCCAGAATTTAAACTGTAATAAATCAATCTTTAATGTAATTCCATTGCTACAATCTAAACTGCTTTAGAATTAGAATTTTAAAGTTTGTCTTTAGAAGCCATTTTGTGAGGAGATCTTGCAGGTATCCTTATCTTTTTGCTTTAACCCAGCACCTTCCCAGAAGCATGCTTTAAGGCACTTTTTTTCTTACCAGAGCTGGGCTTGTGGGCAGACACCACTGCAAGGCTCATCAGTATGGGTGATGGTAGCCACAGTGTAGAAGATGACTGCTTTCCAACACCTTCCCATCCATCCTCCAAAGGTCACGTGCTTCTACAGGACAATATTCATCTGAGAAGGGGGAGGATCAAGAAGGGGAGTCTCTGCAAGGTCCTGAACAACCAGGGGCTTCTACCACCCAGCTGGGCCTCTGTTTCAATTTGAGACACTTAGGGCAGCTCACCTGGACAAGAAGGATGAGGTTCTGGAGATCTTTGGAGCTGGGCTTTTTCAGACACCTTTTTTTAGGACACCATGGTGTGTGTCCAGGGTGATGAAGGCATGAAGGGTGCAGCAGTGCGTGGTGGGGCAGCCTGTGCTGACACCTGTGTGGGGAAGAGAGTGGCAGCTTAGAAAAATTACACAGCTTTGGCCATACTGTTCACTGGCAGCATTCTCTACCTTAAGATGTATCTCCTCTGTGCCAGAAAACAGGAATTGTTTGATATTAATAGTCTTAGCTGACCTGTATCAGCCACTTTTTTAAAAATGAAACAGGACAAACATTTTTGTGCTGGGCATATGCCATGGCCTTGTCACATTTTCTTGGATAAAGTAGCCTTTTCTGCTAAACATTACTTTGAATTGTAACCATTTACTTTTTAAAAGCACTTCTCTTGACATGAGACACACTGAGATCACACATTGACCTACAAAACAATGCTCCCATTGTTTGCACCAGGCAAAATGCAATGTGAAGGAATATGTGATTTCCTACCAATCACATACACACATAAGAATCCAGGTCTGCTAGAAAATCTGAATCAGGTTTGTGCCTCCAGGATGACCAGAATGTCTGTTTTCATTCTTTCTCAATCTGTGTCAAACAGAAGCATTTCTTTCATCTAAATATCACATTTTTCTTGTCTAGCCTAGTAGCTTATGCTCACTCTATCTTATAACTTACTTTTCTGCTGTGTTAGGGCCAAACTTACTCAATGTTTATAAATGCCTTCCTGAATGCAAACGTGTTCTTGAATTAAAGCTGAACAGTGATAAAAACTGAGTGCATAAAAACTGAACACAAAGTCAACCTCAGGTATTTGAAAAGCATTCTTACATCCTGTTTTATGTATAGTATGCTATTCCTGATAGTCAATGAATCCCTAGCTTTGATCATAGTTTAGCAGGTTGTGACAGAACAACCACTCCTTTCTTCAAATCAAAATGCTAGATAAGATGGAGACTTTTCTTGGAGGAGATCAGCCTTTTTCATATATGTCTGAAGCCATGGTTTTTTTGAACAGACTGTCCGGAAGAAAACAAAGTCCTCCAGTACAGCACCTTTTTCTGACAGTTCAAGGTCATTTGCCAAATGTTTTAGCTATGCAAAACTCCCAAAAGAGACACAGTTCATTGTGCAGAGAGTAAAATATTTTGTGTATGCTTATTGCAAGAGTAAATCAAATGATATGTCAAATAAATTCATTGTCATAGCAATCATTGGCAGGGCATGGCCAATATCAGGCCAGAGGAAAAAAAAAAAATACAAGAAACTCATCTAACTAGCAAGTATGACAAATAGAGACCAGTAAATTCTACATTTTTCTGCCAAAAAAAATATTTTTCAGAATGGTTATTCATAAACAGTAATATAAAATATGTCATGGAATTGCTGAAATTGGAATGGAGATTTTCTACTTCGTCCTTCTGCTAGGAGCAAGGCCCAAGTGCAGGATGCTCAGGGCCATGTCCAGTCAGGTATTGAACAGACTTAAGGATGGAGATTCCACAACCAGCCTAGACAACCCATTTCCAGTGTTCAATCAACCTTAAACAAAGTAAGGTTGGTTTTTTTCCTTTGTTTAAATAAAATTTCCTACATTTCAATCTATGCCTCTCATCCTTTCACATGGACATCACTGAGAAGGGTCTGGATCTGGCTACTGTATTCTCTGACCTTATTAGGGATTTATACACATTGATAAGGTCCTCTTGAACCTTCTCTTCTTTGGGCTAACCAGTCCTTGGTCTCAGCCTCTCCTTTTATGAGATTCTCCAGTGCCTTAGAATACTTCACATAATTATGGAAGAAAAATATTTTAAAATAATATTCCATAAATATTTACTCCTTTGGAAAATATTAAGCTGTCATAATTCATGGGAGGAAATATTTATACTTTATAGCTGAGTACTTTTTCCTTGATTCTTTAGCATGTTTACCCTAATTCTGGCATAGCTATTTCCAGAAGAATTGTTATTGCTGTATAAATCATACCTCCAAACCTACTTAGACTCTTTTCTTTTTGGTTTTCTTTTTTTACCACAAATGGTGCATTTCCTTGTGCTCTGTTAAGCGAGTGGAGTTTCTCCTAAAAAGGTACAGTCATACTTGCTTATTTTTCTGTATTCCTCATGCACTGCAGGAAAAAACAAACAGCGGGAAAAAATGACAAATCTCTTTTCCTCTTAGAGCTCAAGCTTGTGCCTGAAGCTATAGGTCTTGTCATCATCAAAGACTTGGTCATTCCTTGTTGAGCTCATTATTATTTTAAGCTGGTTTATTCTCATAGAAAAATGAATGTGCCCAGTGGCACAAGCACATTTGCCAGTAATATGTTGAAAAAATATGTATACATATAAGAGTACAAGTTTTCCTATTCCAGCCTCCACTAAATCTCTTTCTTTTAGATCCCTAAAATTATCATTGTTATTTAATTTAAACTCAGCTTCCAGCTATTAGTAAGCAATGACTTATTTTTTAAACGAGATGTTCTATCAAAAAGTGATGTCCAGTGAATATAAAATTCTCCTTCTAATTATCACTGCATTGAACCAGATTCTTGATTTAAACATTACCTGGAAATCTTAGTGTGCTCTGCAACTTTTGCTTAATTCTGTGTCTGGCGCATTGTGATGACATGTAGGGTGGATGATATAAAAATAACCAATACATGTTCTATTTTTGCCTGAAATTCTTTTCATAATTTAGTTTTCAGCACTGAGAGATGCAAAGGTAAGTAAATTTTTGTTGGGGTTTTTTTGGTCAGTTCAAGGCCCAACCACAAAGTTATTTAAACATAGTTTTAGTCTTATTTTATGTTTGAAAATCAAAATTGTTTATCCAAATGAAAAAAAAGGGGGGAAAAAGGAACTTTTCACATTTTGACTGTTTGATGCAGAGGCCCCTTGACTATTGTGTTGAAAATGTTTCGGATCAATATTTTACATAATGTGCTAAACATATATTGCAAAATATTCTCAACATCCTAGGAAGATGTCACGATCCTTGTGGTACCTTATCTATATAAGGAAGGAGTAATGGAGAAGGGGAAACTTCTGCCTAAACAGTTGCCACTGTTACTTACCTAAGCTTTCTGGGGAGTTTACTCCATCACTGTCATAATAACCATTAGGTTCCGATACTGTCCTTTCAAAATTTAAGAGCTGTCTTGGCTAATGGACTTTGAATATAAGTTCTGTCGCAGAATGAGATTTTTAGACCCCTCCAGCACCTATATGAACAAATGGACATTTTAGACCAAATTCTGGCACATGAATCTGGAGATTATATTTGAATTGAGCTCCATTTGCATATCTTCTACACTGATCTTGACAATAAATTGCAACTCAAAACAACACCCTTACTGATTGTTAAATTCTTATCAGCCTATAAAACACCTATCAATTTTATGATCAGATTGCATCTTCCAAAGTAACCATATTGCAGAATTATGTTCGCTTCACCAATACTGATATTTCTTCACAATTCATCTGAAAATTTAAATTCATTTAAAATTTTAAATGCATCAAATTGAATTCTCATTTTACAAAAGATATTACCTTGAGCCTGGCAGATTGTGACCAAGTTACTCTCCTTAGCATTGCAAAATTACTAAAGTAACATTTACACCAATGAAGACATTGATGTTGTTAAATCTAGTTATGCATGTAACCACTGTGGCACTCAGTCTTCTGTGTATCTGCCGCCTTGAGAGGCTCCCTAGAACAGAGGCTAGACAGTGTTAAAAGAGTAAAGTAGGTATTTATCAAAACGCCTTCAAAGGATACACCCTGGGCACTACAAGAGCCCGGCCATGGCTCCTCCCAAGCTGGACACCCAGTTACGAGATTTCACACTTTTATAATTTTTTATGTTTTTTACATATTGGGGTTAATTGTCCGATTACAGCTTCAGGTTATTAAGTCCCATCCTCCCAGACTGCTCTCCTCAATTCGCTGCTGTTTGTACCTTTTGGGCCTGAGGCTGCAGCGGTGTCCTTGGTTCTCAGGCTGGAAAAGGATTGTTTTGTCTAACTAACCTGTGAAGAGAACCTGTTAAAACTTTATATTAAGTTCAGACTTACATAGTAATGTAGTACAGAACCTGGAAAATATGAAAGCTAAAACTTAAGGCATTACATCAAACCCAAATTTCGAGGAGATCCATCCTCAGCTCCCAATGAACAAATAACACTAGAAAAAATTTCCTAGATGTAATCTGTCATCTTCCAGATAACATTCAGATGAGATTTTTGTGTCCATGGTTACCAAGTCATTGTGCAGAGATTCATTTTGAGCATTGTGAATAATGTTACTTTTTAACCTTACTCTTCAACACTTACATTTCCCCTGTCAGATTTCTGTGACAAAACAGAAGTAAAGCACAAAACCCAGCACTTAGTCTGATCTCACATCTAGGAAATTATCTGCTTGATGTAGAGTAGATGTAGATCTTGATTTAGAACTTCACAGCCAGGACTGTGGTCATGCTCATGCAACTACTATGGCTGATAGTGAAAATTAGTATCAATTTCAGTTTAATGAGATATATATATATATATCTGTTATATTCCCCAGAAGAGGAAATTTCATATATTTAGTCCACTATTACTATCTGGGCATGTAAGAGACTTCAACAGTATTAAAAATACGGAGGAAATTTGACTGGCAATATAGATTTTTTCCATTTCTGTTTTCAAATAAAAAGTATTGCAATTTTGAATGTACCTTTATGTGATTAAGTATTAATGGAAACTTATTTATTATTTCTGGCACCATCTCCATCTGCTTTTTTAATGTTAGGAATAAAAGCAGTAGACAGACAAGCACAAATATGTACATTTATATGATAAATAAAATCAATCCCTCCCACAATCTCACCTTATTTTTTTTCTCCTACAAAACTTGCACAATGCTAACAACAAAAAGAAGAAAAGCAAGATGTCATTTTAAAAATTGGAGATGGTTGTAATTTTCCACACCAAATATTATAGTAGAAAGGAAGTACTTGTTCAGACCCTTACGGCTCATCCTACTTGCCAACATGTCACACAGAAATGCTAACAGCCATGGAGGGTCAACTCCTTGCTGAAAACTGAACACAATTATTCTGGTTTATTTTCATGGAAAGACTATTCTAGAAACTTGAAAATGGCTGAGCAGCAGGCTTTATAGAATATTAAGTTGTTCAGCAAACATGAAACAAAAGACTTCTTTTCATTATATACTATTTCTTTTTGCAAACAACCCAGGTGTGTAAGAAACTGTCAGGTGGTATTTAATATGACCCTTGTTAATAATATAACCATTGGTTTAATATCACAATTCTGATACATTTTTATCTGTTAAAATCAGTTCTGAGATAAGAGATGCTCAGTGTTGTCTTTGATGCTTATGCTATGTCAAATGTTCATACACTTGTGTACCACCACATCCCCCTTATAGTTGTTACTTTTTCCAACTATTATATTTCCTTATTACTCTTACTGCAATAGTGTCACTACTAAAATGTTTCTCCTTATAATTTAGTTAAATGTAGGGAAGGATTAAAAACTAACATTCATTTTTCATTGCAACACCCATCTAATTATTCTTAATACGATTTTTATTGTATAATGTCACTTATTGCAGAATCACTTTAATATGAGCTACAATTATTTTAAGGATAAATTAATTCCTACAAGAGTATTATTTAAAACTACTATGTGATGGTAACTTACATATTACAAACATACCATATTTTGGTACCAAAAAATAGTGGTTTAAGTAAATATTTCATAATTCTGTTTAACACAACATTTAACAGTGGTCAGAACAAATACTTTAAGATGTTCTGTTTCATTATCATATGGAACATAAATTCAAGATAATAGTTTATGTATAATGTAACATGATTAAATCTGTTTCTGCTTCTTTTTATTTCAGATGTTCTTCTCCCATTTTCTTGTTGATATTTTAAGGGAATTACAAAATTATGCAAAAGTGTATCAAATCCAACTTTCCAGTTCAGGATATATACAGATATTTATTCAAATGGCCCCTGGTTAGAAGTGTTCAGACTGGGGAGCAGGGAGAACATGTATAATTAATTTGCTTAGAAATGTCATAAAACTCAATGATGTATAATGAAATAGCATAGCAATAAATACATAAATATCACTTAATTCCATCATAAACTCTGATGTGACAGAAATAATGATGAATAGTAATATGGGATGAAGAATTTTCTTTATAATAGAACATTTTTATCAGACAGGTCAACTTTATGGTATCCAATATGGCATATTTCTTAAAGGCACGTATATGGATGGGTTCATATTCATCAACAATTGTAATCTGAAAGATCCACTGATAATTATCCTAAATGACTTTAGGAATATATTTTACTCTGGTGTAAACTCAAATACATTATTGATGAATAGATGTATACACATTAGAAAAAAGCATCCAGTAATTTATGTTGTGTTCTATTCAACATCACACAAATAAAAATGATTCAAGACCGCAAAACTCTCTCTATACTTAAATATTTGTATTTTTTGTTAAATACTTCACATTAAAAATACTGAATCATGTAATATTGCCAAAAGACTGGCTCTTTCTCATAAAATATTATCAAAGCTAGCAAGAAAAAAGAGCTTTTGACCAAGGAAAATAATAGTTTTTAAAATTGTATTAAAAACTTTGTTTTACTTAATATTTCCTCTTAAATATTATTTCTTGCACATTTTAATCATATTGTAAATCACAACTAAAAATTATTATCAGTTATTAGAGAGTTTATCATAAATTATATTATATAGAATTTTATCCATGTGTTCTTTTGCATGGCATCTTCTATATATCCTTGTTGTCTTTGGGATGAATAGAAGAACTGACCTTTTGAGATATTTGTCAGGTTTTTTTCCCATGAATTTGTGTGAAACAAGTAAAATAAGTCTCTATGCCTTGTTACACATTCTGCCTGGACTTTCAGAATCGAAGTATACATTAGCTGAAAACTATCATGAGGGATACTCTTAACAGCCTTTTCTCAAATCCTGATGCGGAACTCATGTGCAACAGGACAATTACAGTGAAAAAGTGTCTGCTGTATTAGCTGTGTAAAGGGAACTGCAGAACTGTGTCACTGCAGATGCATATTAAAATGCATAATAAAAAGATACCCATGAGACTGTTTTAAAATTATGAATTGGTATAATTTATCAGAGTTCATCTGCAATATGGAGATGGCAACAGATGCAGAATTGAAACTGCCAGCATTAGCACAATATCTGTATTTTCATTCCTGACCCTCTCACACCTTTCAGCATCAAATAAGTGCATTAAATCTAAAGCTCTCACTCTGTGTATTGGAAAGTTCATGTTTTTGAGTCCTTAATTAGAATTCAAGTTTACCTCAGAAAGGCTTAAGGTATGATTATCCTGAAATGTCGTAGAAATTGTTCCCACTTAGGAATAGAGAGAAATTATATATAGTTAACATTTATAACAACAGCATGCTTTTCTAAATAATTGGAAGAAGTCTGAAGTTATGCTGACAATATCAAAACACCAAGAATGTACTAGAGAAAGTGAAGAAAGTGTTGTAAGTCACATAATGAATTTTCAGTACAAAATCAGACAAGACTTGAAATGCTTATTTCCAGGTTAAAAGGAATAAAATTAATATTTGAATAAAACATTATTTTAAAATTGAAACTCACTACATGTCGGATCTCAAGATCTCAGTCCTGAGATGCTGAGCCTCCGAGACCTTGGGGGTCTCGGGACTCCTGGAATGTTGCCAGAAGTGTCTGGTAGCTGGACTTTAACCCTACACAGGAGACGACAAGGATGAGGGCTTCACAGAGAGAATGGTGAAAGAATTAGTTAATTAGAGAGTGAGACACAAGGTTTAAGATTTATGTACAGGGGGGTTTAGAGGAGTAAGATGGAGGAATTGGGGTGTGTCCTGTCCTCCTTCTGTTCCTCTTCTCCTCCATCTTCTTTGGCCACGGTGGCATTTTTGGATTGGTTATTACTAAGAGTACACCGAGCTATAACAATAGATGGTATTGGAGAAAAATGATAAATATTGTATACGTCACAATGGGTATAAAGATAGGTGCCTGCCCGGAGGGCAGAGACAGTGTGCCCATGGCTGACTGCTGAGCAGATCTTTGTTAGGCTGAAAGAACATCTTTTAGATAAACAATTAATAAACATAAAACCAGAAAGAAGAACTGAAGCCTCTTCT